AAGAAATTTGTGTATTTATATAATATATATATATATATATATATATATATATATATATATATATATATATTAAGAACCATGATAAATTCATATTTTTTTTATACTTATATATAAATTATAGTGAGCAAATTAAATAAAAAAATTACAAATTTTTTCTTAACAAATAGAATTTTGTTGTATTTTTTTAAAAGTTATTTTAATTTCTATAAAATGATTTGAAATGCTTGCATCAATATTTGACAAGAAAATAATATATTAATTATTCAGATTATTTATTAATTAAAAACACATGACTTAATATAAAAAAATTAAAAAGAAAAAAAATCATATTTTGTCATTTTTATTAATATAAAAAATTGATTATATCAAAACATGATGACAAAATTACACCATAACAACTCCAAGAAACTAAGGTTTTGGATGAAGTAAATGTAAATCCAAAGCTTGAAACGAAGTTGGGCAAGGGATGGTTTATTGCAACAAACAATCCGTATAATAGATTGTGTGTAGTGTAGAGTTAGCTCCAAAGTGTTTTATCATTTGTCCACACTCTCCCACCTCACATGTCACATCCTTAATTTCCACCCCATCCTTTACAATTTGACTTAAAACGAATTAAAATGAAAGGATATGGTTGTATATAAGATAATTGACAGAAGAATTAAATGGAGTTTGGAGGTATTGAATGCAGCATGTAATATCTCCACCCACCCACACCTTGACATGTTATAATCATCTCGTAACACACAGGGTCTTCCATTGTTAACTTTAAAATATTGCATGCATGGATGTTGTTCATTGGAAAACTAAAATACACAGGTTATGGAGATAAATTTTTCGGACATGCTTACCACTGTCCTAATATATTATCTGTGCAATATTAAAAGCTCACTTTTTTAATTGAGGTTGCAGAACATAACTCAAACGAGAGAGAGAGAAAAAAAAAAAAAGAGAGAGTAATAAAACACCTACAAATAGAAAATAAAAACCATTAAAAAGATTTTATGTGCAATAAGTTTCTAAAGATTGTCTCTTGATTTTCAAAAATAATTAAAAATTAAAAAAGAATATTAAAATGTAAAAACTACAAAAATATCCGTATGTTTAAAGCAAGGGCATGACCAAATTCATTGATTTGTACTGCGACAGACTCCATTTGTCCATGTACATAAGTAGAAAACTCTCCAACTTTAATAGTCTTTTTGTATGCATATATCATAATTTAATATATAAACCGTTCTTCAAAATGAAACTTTCTTTCTTTTATAATACATGTATATACAATAGAAAAGTAGTACATTTTGAGTAGGAACAAATGTTTAAAGAATTGTATATAAGTGTTGGAGAAAACAGAAAATGATAGCGAGGGCGTGTAGGATTAAAAAGAATTGAAAAAAACGAAAGTTATGTATTCTATTTTCGGTCTGAATTTTGATGATGTGATTATATATGGTGTTACCAAGTGTGTAGGTGGTTTCTCAACTATTGGTAATACACCCAAATTATACTGAATGTCAATATTATGGAAATTATCCGCCACTGCGTTTTGTTAGTACCATGATTTGGTAATGATTTGACATTGGATAATGGATACTATTTTTATTTTTTGTTCTAGTTTTGTTTGTTTGATCCACAGTGGAATCTCTTGGTAAGAGAATACCACACCGTTTTATTTTTTTTTCTCAAAGAAATTGGTTGTGTTACAGTTTTGAATTCATGGACCCATCGGGCTGTCGTCATTAGTAGACAGCTTGCATTTGGTGTTCATTCATTCATTCAGCTTAGAGAATCGTAGCACGGGTTTGAACTACTACTAGCTAGGTAGGACGTAACAACTTACAACGTGTGCTCATGAAGTGTTTATCTAGTATTGTGCAAACTAATTGAAGTGGTGAATTGTATTTTGGCGTTACTTCAGCTGCACTACACATTTGAGAAGATTACATGGTAGTGCATGTGGCGCCACCTCGTTCTTAAACCTCTGGCGTTTACTAGTGCTTTGTAATTTGTATATCCTCAGTTGGATTACCTAGTTTCTTGCCATGCATTCCTCTAGATCTGTGCTAGAGTTGAATAAAACGCATTATTAATATTTTCAACAGGTTGTGGTTACTTGAAATGTAAGATAGGTGTGGGTTGACAATCTCTTTTGGCTTATTGAAATTAAGTACTTGTCAAGCAATCACTAGAATCAAATGCTTGGATCATGCACTAAGAAAGTGCCAAACTCTATTTATTAGTATACGTAGGATATGGAAATCCAATCTATATCAGTATCCTCTGTACCCAGTTGTTCATTCTGGTTTACCATTATGGTTTTGTAAATAATGAGAATGAGAATACCACACTCCATACTTTCGGCGTCTATCAAAGTAATAATCAATCAGCTTCAAAGGTAATTCGGATGATCTATTTTTCTTTCCTTATTTCAAGGCTGCAAGAGTATTTTCTCTTTGAGCTATGTTCAGTTATTCCTTAATCTGAAACCGCATATATCAAACTTCAAGGTATGTGCGGTTTCTGAACTTTGTCTCTCAGTACTTTCATGTTCTGTAAGAACACGCATGAAAATTTTCAATATTCTCAGTCCTGAAGACAAGGGAATGACAAAACAGAATGCTAACATAAAGTTAAAAAGATGGAGAAGTGTTTACTATTTTATCTTTATACCGGGTGCTCTTGCTCTTCTCCTCTCTGTTGCTGCCATGTCCAAGTTCATCTCCCTCAAATCATTTCTTGGTACTGAATCTTTATACTCCAATCTGAATCCTGAGGTCCCAAATGGCAATCAACAAGAAGTGATGATGATGACTGTGCAAATTGTGATTCAGAAAATTGAAGAGCAACTTGACAAACTGAGGGAAACAAAAGAGGATCCATCATCATCATCCCCATCTGTATTCCAACAAAGTGCATTTCTTGCTGATATATTAGGACTTCTTGAGTCAGCGGTAGCATCTCATGATTCTCAGCAAAATGCTAGTTTCACCACCATTCATCCTCTAGTGAGGAAAAAGAAACAATCTGATGAACCTGCTGATTACTTTCTGCGAGAAGAGATTCGCAAGTACGTCAGGATCAAGCCTAACAGATTAGGAAAACAAAACTTCATGGGGGCAAATGCAAGCTTCACCAGCATAGGACACGCTTGCTTTTCAATGAAGGAAGAGCTAGAAGAATACATGGACTACGATGTTGGTGACATCTGCAATGATGACTGGAAGATAGCTCAAAAGCTCATGGTTCATGGCTGTGATCCTCTACCAAGGAGAAGGTGCTTCTCAAGAGCCCCTAAGTTGTACAACCAACCATTTCCCATCAATGAATCCTTGTGGAAACTCCCTGATGATAGGAATGTCAGATGGAGCCAATACCAGTGCAAGAGCTTTGCTTGTCTCGCCGGCAACGCCACCCGTAAGGGGTTCTTCAAGTGTGCATACTGCTTCAACCTCACCAACCATGAGATGCCAAGATGGGTAAGCCTAGAGGCTGATTCAAACCAGACTTCTGATTTCCTTATATCTGAGGTTCTTGGAGTTAAGCCAGAAGAGATCAGAATAGGATTGGACTTCAGTGTTGGAACTGGAACTTTTGCTGCTAGGATGAGGGAATTCAATGTGACAATAGTTTCAGCCACTATCAATTTTGGGGCACCCTTTAGTGAAATGATAGCTCTTAGAGGACTTGTTCCTCTATACTTGACTATAAACCAAAGGCTTCCATTTTTTGACAACACCCTGGATTTGATTCACACAACAAGGTTTCTGGATGGGTGGATTGACTTTGTGCTCCTTGAGTTTATATTGTATGATTGGGATAGAGTTTTGAGGCCAGGGGGGTTGCTTTGGATTGACAGCTTTTTCTGCTTGAAGGAAGATTTGTATGATTACTTGCAGGCCTTCAAAATGCTGAGATATAAGCAGCACAAATGGGTGGTTGTTCCAAAGCTTGATAAGGATGATCAGGAAATGTTCTTTTCTGCTGTTTTAGAGAAGCCTCCTAGGCCATTCAGGTGATCTTCCATTGTAGTTTTGTCTTCTTGCCTGTGTAATTCCCATCATTCTTTAGGTTAATCTTTGAGACACTTTAGTTTTGAATATTGCACATTTGTCTTGTGTATTGCGACCATAAGTTTTAAAAAATGACTGTTTAATATAAGAGTTAATCACCTATACATTATTGATGTAAAGTTTTTTTTATATTAGTAATTAATAATATTTTTAATAGTGTCATATCAGTTACTTTTAATGAAATAAAAATAAAATAAAATAATTTAAAAGATGATTAGTTGTTAGTGTAAAAAATTTTACACTGATAATGTATAGATGATTAACTCTTAATATAATATAAGTCAATAAGGAGCTTCCTAATGTAATATTCTTCAAATCTTTTTTTCCTCCCATACTCCATGGTATATTGTTTATGATGATCTCCAATATTTTAAAGTAAATTCTAAGTGTATAATCTTCATTCTCGCATTAAAAGCAATTCATTCATGTACTTTGCTACCATACTTCCATAATACAAGATTTTCATTGACGTCTCTGGTTAGTGCCATAATCCATACAAATCTTCAGGTCTTTCAAACTATGTCTGTGTGATATTCACATCAGATACGAATTTATATTGGACAATTCCCAGATATTTTGATTACTTTAGTTAAACTTTATAGTTTTTATATTTATATTAAAAATATCATAATACTCAAATTAAAGTTGTAATAAATTATTATATATATTTTTATAACAAATTATTATTATTACTACTATTGTTATTATATATAATGATTCATATTTGCTTTTCAAATATCAATTCTCTTTTAATTTAAAATTTACATTTTATGTTGTTTTTATATTATAATTATATTGTATTTTACAGTTTTTAAAATTTATATATTAATCCCATGCCATATTTCATAATACATATATTTTTAATTGATCATAGGCATTTTATATATCATATACTTCAAACAAAACTTTATGAGTTGATGTAATGGACATATTGTGTTCACATATAATAAAGATCAAAGACCAAAAACAATAAAGGAGTAAAATTTCAAGGGCCATGATTAATTAACATTTAGTTTAGCGACTAAAATAAAAATTTAGAAAAGATTAGGCACTATCAACGAATTTAGCCCATGAATGAGCCCAAATCCTCTATGCCATGTAACGGATCTTACCCGCTTGTCTACCAATATTTGTTATCCATGCATCCAACTCATCATATATTCCAATAAAGCAAAATTACAAGTAATAATAACAGAGTAAAAGTTTAACAACCATGACCGATCAACATTTAAATCAAGAACTAAAAAAATTTAAGATTAAAAGTAAAAATTTAGAGAAAAAATTAAAAACTAAAATATATTTAATTATTTTCTTTTTCTAAACTAAACAAGTCCTAAAAATCTATGAAAATACTCTCTTTTATATTTTCCTTTTTTAATGCATGCTTATATTTGATATTTAATTTGATCTTGGATGGTGTTGTCGCAAGTTTAATATCCTTTCTCACTCGATTCAAATTATTAATCCTTAGTTTAGCAAAGATATGATTCTTCATATCTTTCATGTTTATTAATAGCAGTAAAAATATTAATTTTTTAATAATTATATAAATATATATTTGGAAAAATAATTATTAAACTAAATTAATGTACACATGTATGATTCTTTTTTCCCTCACATTATATATATATATATATATATATATATATATATTCCCTCTTTGTAACTATATATATTTAAAATTTAAAATTTTAATAATATTAAATAAATTATATTTTATCATATAAATTAAAAAAATAACTCACAATATATTTAAAAATAAATTTATTAACTTTTAAAAATTAAATTTATTAATTTAATTAATATTATTAATATAAAATAAGTTTTTAAATAAGTTAATAAATTAGATAAAGTTTTAAAAATGTCAGATTGTTTATAAAAAAATTTATAATAAATAATAAAATAAATTTAAACTTTAATTTTGTAAAACAGATCTAATTTATATATTTAAAATCTCACCTAACTTGACTTATTATCATTTTTACTTGTGATTATACTGCACAATGTTGAGATTAAGGAGTCAATAATAAACATAGAATAGATATGTTTATTTTTCATGTTTATTAGTAGTGGTAAAATAGTAATTTTTAAACAATTATATAAATATATATTTGAAAAAAATAATTATTAAACTAAATTAATGGACACATGTATGATCAATCAATAAATAATAGAATATATTTAACATTTGTGTTTTGCATAAAGGTGGAGCCGTCCATGAGCCAAAGTGAGTCATGTGTCCGAATGAGTAGGTGCCACTTGTCCCACAACATTTTATATTGTCGGTCACCACTCACTACTTTTCTGAAAAGCATTCACCGCCATCACTCACTCACTATTTCTCTGACAAACGGTGTCTTCTTTTCTTTGATATGACCACCCACAAAGAGACTAATAAATTTCTATACAACTTCAACAATTTTAATTATTCTATTCATTGTTTTATTTATTATTTTTAGTTTTTAAAATACTTTTATCTTAATAATTAAAAACAGAAAAATGAGATATGCCTATATAAGATATTTTCTAATCATAAATTATTATATATAATAAATTTATTTACTTTAATAATATCAATTATGATATGTTATTAATTAATAGTGTAAAAGCTTATAATATTTTCAATAAGAGTTATGTCACAAATGCTACCTATAATTTTGAACTGTAAAATTAAAAAAAATTATTTATAATATATATATATATATATATATATATATAATGAATATGATGTAT